TATTCAGGAAAAGGGGGGACAGGATTGTAGTTACAACATTAGGAACTGAACAAATCCCTTATCATCTGTGAAACGGATATTCTATAAGGTCATGGTTACTAAAAATAAACTTAATAGCTTGCTGTTCAGTGTGAGCCAAGGCTCTTTGTTGAAGGCTGTACTTTGACCTATAATTGTTTATTTTTTACACATTGTGACTTGAATTGAGATCTGTCCCATTGGCGCTCATACCACATCTTATTTCTATTAAATAAGTTCAGAAACTTTTTTTTCTATGGTAAAATCCTCTGGCACAAATTAGAGTCTACAAATATCATAAATTCTGTTTATTTTATAAATATTAACATATTTGATCCTAGTAATGCATACAGGAAAAAGAAGAATAACTAGAAAGAATTTTAGAACACAGGCAGTGTAACTTGAAATTGAAGTTTACATACGTCATAATGTACACATGTAAACAAAAGTTGTTTGGCTCAAAATAAAATAAATTTGGCTGTTTAATCTTGACTGTAAATCTTTACCATTTTAAATTAATGTGCTGAATTTTGATGGTTTTTGATAATGTAGTTAATAAATGCAAAACTGTTTTCTATCCAAGGTTATACAGGCTGACTAGATAGAATTAATAACAAAAATACTTAAATTACTATTGATTTTAAACATGAAAACGATATTTAATGGATGAACACATCTGTTATCAATGTTTTCTCTTTTACTTAAAACAATAAAAATGTTCCCATACATGTATCATTTAAGGTCAAGAGGCTGTCAAAATTACTGCTGAACAGGTTTTCTTTCCATTAAATGAGTGTCATTGTTAAAGAAATCAAGGGCATACCCCCTAATTGGAAATTGTTATCACATAAAAATGACGTAAAAATTCATTTTTCAACCAATGCAGGACTTTAACTCCTAAACAGCAAAAGTGTAAAATTATTTATGAACTTTACCTAACCTTTTGTCATGAAACAAGATATAATTGTAATGAAAAGGTCAAACAGTTATTGCACTGAATTAAGGTGCTATCCAATCAACCAGAATAATTGTGATATTTATATAAGTCCCATAAGAAAAACAAATGGTTCTCTCAGATCCAGAGGGGTTGTTCTGGGTGTTGAACCCCCTCCCCCTTTTTAGTTTGACGACTCATGCTTTTGTATGGGGACATATGGTTGGAACCCTCCTTTTTTTATATTATTTGCAAGTGTTGGAACCCCCTTTTTAAAAAAATGGCTGGTTCTGCACCTGTTTCCTGTTGTCTTGATTCCTGAGAAAATTAGTTATTAAAAAGAAAGGGGTTAAAAGAAGAAGTGAGGATGCTATGCAGGCAAAAAAAATAATTATTTAAACTGTGTACAAGTTTCTCTTCAACAAATAGGTTCTGATTTTTCAGATAATATACTAACCTTAATTCAAATTTTTAAAGAATATGAAAAAAAAAAAAGAAAGATCCCCACAACCTATTATAGACTGCTGCTTTTTCATTCTTGAATTTTTAAAAGCCTCAATTTTCATCACCATTAATTTTCTTAGCACCATTGTTAAATTAATAGAATTACACAAATGAGACCAAAATGGTGCTTAATGTTAAAGAATGGTTATATTGGTGATACATCCTATTTCCATTTTAACTAATCATGATGTTACCAAAAAATGTATATGTGAATAATAAAAATCTGGTCCAAAATTGTTTCCTGATTCTGAGAAATATGATTAACTCTTTATAAATTTTTCAAGTTATTACAATGTATTTAAATATGAAATTCTAACTTATAAACGTAATATCTCAAACATTTCAATACTGAGTTGAAGAAATGCAAGCCTTAGAAGCTCAATTTGTGTCACCTGCGGTCTCAAAATTATATAATGGTTAAGTCCATGGTTTGATAAGGTAAGCTAAATATGTGCAAGCTAAATGGAATTCTGTATCTAGACACTGCTAGGAGACACACAAATATTATCTAGATAACATAATAATATGCAAACATATCATATGCTCAATTGAATTAGCTTGACTTTCCACAATTGCAGCTATCTGTTTTTAAATACATCAAACATGTCAAATGTCTTGTATAGTTCATGATTTTCAAAAAAACATTTGGATAATTTATCAAACTTTTGTACAACAATATAGAGTTCACACTAGGACATTTATATCGATTTAAACTAGATCGGTTCACTTTAGATCGGTTTAAGGGCTAATGTGAATGCTTTTGATCGATCTTTAATCGGTCTAAACTAACACACCAAAAGAGGTAGTTTAGTTTGAATCGATCTAAAGATAACCGATCTAACTTTAAATGTGAACGCAAAGATCGGTTTAAACTAGTGAGATTGAATCGAAAATAATATATGTGTATGTATAGCGACAAAACTACAAGTGTAATAACATAACACCCCAGTATATATCGGTGGTTCGTTGTTTAACCAATATTTCTCTGTTTAAAAACAGACCTTGTGTACATGCAAGTAAAGACAAACGGACAAAAAGTTGTCTTTGCCGTACCATAAATTTGTGTGTCTTCTTTTCTTCTGTTGTTTTTGTTGTATTTTTTTCAGAACCGGAGCATTTCTTCCTTGCTACAGTTTTTTGTTTCAAAATTAATGAAAACTACAAGAACACAAGTATCAAAATTTGAACTTGTGATTCAAGAGAAACAATAACTTCATCCATTTTTTTTAACAGTGTGTTTCAGTGTACCAACACATAAATTTGATTAATTATTTCTATTTATACACAATGTTTACAGTTTTACAGGTCAATTGCATTTTTAATTGTAGTGTGAAAGCAGTGGTTCAGATTAGATCGATAGAGATCATTATGATTAAAGATAATGTGAACGCTAACTGGTTTTATTTAGATCAATTCAAATTAGATCGATAAAAAAAAATGCTAGTGCGAACTAGGTCTTATATGTTAAATTGACTTAATACAAATACATGACATATGATATGGTTGTAGGTTTGTTTATTTATTCTACATTTATCCTACATTTGACAAATTTGATTTATGTAGACCATATCCTATTGTAAATCTGCTGTAAAGTTCTGTTCAATAATTTGTATATACATTAAAATGATAGGACTTCTAGAAATCTGTAAACTTATTTTGCCTGTCCCTAAATAAATATTGTCAATCAAAAATGAGGAATTATCTCCCTTTGCACTTAATTTGTATGTGCTTTTAATATCAAAAACTGTGGAAAACAGACATCCACTGTATCTGTTCAGCCTTTCCACATACATTTTTAAATTACTAAAAATACAGTGTGAACAAAAACTCTAAATTAGGAAACAGATGAGTCATTGATGAAGGATTCCCATAGAGAGGTTAAACAAGAGTGCACACGCTGAAATGTCTCGCCTTCTTTACTAACCATTGATATTATGTTTATAGTCCTAAATATAAAGCTTTACTACAACTATCACATACACTTAAAATGATCCAAGAAAATGAGGTCAAGGTCATATAAACCAAACAAGAAATACATGTACACCTTACAATCATTCAATACACTAAATATAGTTGACCTATTGTTTATAGTTTCTAAGATACAGACTTAACCAAGAAAACTAAACATTGACCAATGAACCAATAAAATGAGGTCAAGGTCAGATGAACAATGCCAGGCAGACATGTAATACAGCTTGCAATCCTTCCATACAACAAATATAGTTGACCCTATTGCTTATAGTATTAGAAAAACAGGCCAAAACACAAAAACTTAACACTGAGCAATGAACCGTGAAAATGAGGTCAAGGTCAAATAAAACCTGCAAGACTGACAGGTATATCATAAAATATTTCCATACACCAAATATAGATGACCTATTGCATAAAGTATTAGAAAAAAAGACCAAAACTCAAAAACTTAACTTTGACCACTGAACCATGAAAATGAGGTCAAGGTCAGAAGACACCTGCCAGCTAGACATGTACACCTTACAATCATTCCATACACCAAATATAGTAGACCTATGGCATACAGTATAAGAAAAACAGACCAAAACACAAAAACTTAACTATAACCACTGAACCATGAAAATGAGGTCAAGGTCAGATGACACCTGCCAGTTGGACATGTACACCTTACAGTCCTTCCATACACCGAATATACTAGACCTATTGCTTATAGTATCTGAGATATGGACTTGACCACCAAAACTTAACCTTGTTCATTGATCCATGAAATAAGGTCGAGGTCAAGTGAAAACTGTGTGACGGGCATGAGGACCTTGCAAGGTACGCACATACCAAATATAGTTGAACTATTGCATATAGTATTAGAAAAATAGACCAAAACTCAAAAACTTAACTTTGACCACTGAACCATGAAAATGAGGTCAAGGTCAGATGACACCTGCCCGCTAGACATGTACACCTTACAATCATTCCATACACCAAATATAGTAGACCTATGGCATACAGTATAAGAAAAACAGACCAAAACACAAAAACTTAACTATAACCACTGAACCATTAAAATGAGGTCAAGGTCAGATGACACCTGCCAGTTGGACATGTACACCTTACAGTCCTTCCATACACCGAATATACTAGACCTATTGCTTATAGTATCTGAGATATGGACTTGACCACCAAAACTTAACCTTGTTCATTGATCCATGAAATGAGATCGAGGTCAAGTGAAAACTGTCTGACGGGCATGAGGACCTTGCAAGGTACGCACATACCAAATATAGTTATCCTATTACTTATAATAAGAGAGAATCTAACATTACAAAAAATCTTAAGTTTTTTTTCAAGTAGTCATTGAACCATGAAAATGAGGTCAAGGACATTGGACATGTGACTGACGGAAACTTCGTAACATGAGGCATCCATATACAAAGTATGAAGCATCCAGACCTCCCACCTTCTAAAATATAAAGCTTTTAAGAAGTTAGCTAACGCCGCCGCCGCCGTAGCCGCCGCCGCCAGATCACTATCCCTATGTCGAGCTTTCTGCGACAAAAGTCGCAGGCTCGACAAAAACATATCAATATACCTGTACATTTCTTTCATTTATTTGAACATTAAAACAATGTAAATAGACCTGCTAATTAATTCGTTTTCAATGAACTTTTAACAATCTACGATTCTTTTTTACCTATCACGATAAAATGTGAAAATCTTCCTGAACAATATTTATTCTTCTTGTTTTTAAAGTAGTACAAGCTGAAAAAATTGCATGGTTTATAAGGTAGTTTTGTGCATTATAATATTCCTAATTGAATCTATAAATACTACTATGCAAAAAAAATTTGGATAATCAGAATCTTATATAAATGAGTAATTTCATCTTAGATGTCTTATCTTAAGTAAATGTATGAAGACTTTCAAAACAAACACAGAATAATTAGTGATGAGGCACAAATAACAAACATGTCCGTTTCACAAATGAAATTACAACATAGACTATCTAATCTATAAGTATCATGTCGATCGGTCCAGATATTCTGCTATTTGTAAATTTCTCCAGTCTTTAGATAGATCATCAAAATGGTTATCAAAGTCAACTAACTGTCTGTAGGAATCCGGTGTAGATAATAACATTCTGCTTAACTCTAGTGTTTCTTCATCTGTTGTCGGTCTACAATGGATACATAATTATGTTACTTCTTGTACAAGTGTGTAAACTTCATTTGAATAATCGTATAGTTTTCACCTACCTCATTTTTGTGAAAGAGTTTCTTTTAGATACCTAAATAGATATCTCAATCTTTCCATAACTTTAATTCTACATACAGCCAATATCATCTTTGATAGATAATTGATTTATGACTTCATCCAATTGCAATTTACAAAATTTCATTCTTGCCAGCACCCTTTTAACAGTATCACCAGAAGTTTTATAATTTGGATTTTTTTTCATTTTGTTTGTTTACACATCTAAATTTTGTATGTGTTTGTAGCCATATAACATGTAGTTAAACACATTAATATTACTTTAGATATCAATAAACATATGATTTCAAAATGGAACTATACAACTATACAACTGCAATTTTAACTGTTTCTTAAATCTTTGAAGAGTTGGAGAATTTAAGATGTGAGCCCCCTTCTGAATCATCAAATTGGTTTATGTCAAGAGACATGTCTAATTGTTTTTAATTGATAAGATGAAGGACTTCCCGTTACGAATTTCCTTGGAGTTCGGTATTTTTATTATTTTACTTTTAATGTCAAGAGACATGTTAATTGTTCATCAGTAGCAATACTATAAGGAAACTAAACTAATGACACAGTCACACAATGAACACCTGAATTAACATTTGTCCAATTGTATGAAAATTTCAGTATTTCTATACCTTTTATCAGTTTTGCACCAATTTGTTTCTTTAAACGTGTATATATTGTAAGCCTCTGACACTGCTAGCGGAGATACTTTATTATTATCAACCTGAAAAACAAAATCTTACATTGAAACAATTCATAGTATTACATCTTGGACATTATCACATAATTCCCAAATTTATCCAACATTAATATCTTTTTCTAAACTAAGACGCATCATTTGTATATGCGATAATATATTGGGAAAAGTTTCATGCTAAAGTTTACATCTATTTGTATCCACTTAATTTTTAGAGTCTGTTCTTGCACTAAAAAATGTGTTGCCTTGTAGAACATTTTTTTCATATTGTTTCTAATTGTCAAGACATAATTGACAAACTAAAATATTTCATTTTTCTTTTCAAAAATCATAATTCAATATTCAAAGTCCTACATTCTTTATCAAATAATTGAAATCCTTTTACTAACAAATGATCGATAAATACTCACTATAAAAATACAAGTCCTTTTACTAACAAATGATCGATAAATACTCACTATAAAAATACAAGTATCAGGGTTATTGTCGTAGATTCTTTTTCCTATTATTTTTGCTGCATTATTTAATCTGAAAGTTGAATAAAGTTATATTTTAAATTTCTAAGTAAATTTTCCACACAATAAAAGTAAATATATCAAATAGGTTATTTATAATATAGCAGGTATTTTCCGTGTTTAGAGTAGCCTTTTATAAAAGCATATACTTTTTGTGATCCCAAAAATATTTCAAAGTTGGTTACCATGATTACTAGATACTTTTGTAAACAGGAAGTCATGAGTTTGACTTTATGAACAGACAAAGTGCCCTGTTTGATAGAAAATTGTATCACATGAACAAAAATTTAAACTTCAAATATTTTATTGCGTTCATAATCATGATAATTGCATTTATTGATTAACAGGCCATTAAAAATTTTCCAATGAACGAAAGGAGCTCCTGTATTACTGAGATATCACTTTAGTTTACCAAGAAATCCACACTTACACATTATCATCAAGGTTTTCATTGGCTTGATAATATCCTGCTATCACACATCCTATACTCTTACTGTAGGCTTCAATCTGAATATACAAAATTAAACTAAGGTTAGATAACAAACTATGTTGCAGTGGCGGATCCAGAACTTTTCATAAGGGGTGCCCGCTGACTGACCTAAAGGGGGGGGGGGGCTCCAGTCATGCTTCAGTGATTCCCTATATAATCAACCAAATTTTTCCCAGGATAGGGGGGCCCCCCCTGGATCTGCCTATGTGTTGTGTATTTGCATACCAACTAGCATTCATGACGAGAATAGACAGCTCAGCTTACAGTATTTTTTATTTAATTTAAGCATTTTTTGGGTAATATAGATGTTTCTCTACTGAGCTGCATACTGAGCTGCAGTGAGGTAATACCAGAAAAAAAACTATAGATATTAACTCTCTAACATGTTCTAGCCAATGCTAATCTTGGGGACATTACTGAAAAGTTGTATCAACAAAAAGACAGTCATTTCCCTTTAACATTGTTATTTTTTCAATGCATAAATTTTAATTAGGCCAATATGTCTAAAATGTTGTGTCCACGAGGATGAATCCATGAATAGTGTCACATTAAACTTTAATGAACTTTTTATAGATTAACTGAAGTATTGTATTTGTCTTTAAATGCCTGATAAAAATTATGAAAACATATTGAAGTTATACTTTTAAAAATGACAAGAACAGTGGGTTATAAATTAAACATGTATATGACAGCAACTCAGTAGTTTCAGAGAAGATTTTTCAAAATCTTGCCTATCAGGATCAAAGGATGATATTCATTCAATTTGATATTAATTTTGGAAATTTTATTGACAAACTATAGTTATTGTGACTGCATATTGATCAATGTCAGCTGAATGAATATGAATGTCGAAGTCTCATTTTAAAGAATATGCTTGGTTATTCTTTAAATGAGGTTTATATCTGTGTTTTGGAGTATTTTGGGTAAATCTATCATGTCTATGTATGGACTTAATCCCTTTAAGGATTTTCTTATGCCATTGGCAAGAACTATATTGATCTAGAAAGTAGTTGTCCTTCATGATTTTTTCATTGTTTTTTTTTGTATTCAAATTACAAAAAGAGGCACAGATTAGACGATGACGACGACGACGACGACGATGATGATGATGATGATGGATGGCTGCTTAACGTCCAGCAGCAAATTAATATGTATATTCATAACCACGATAATGAGAACATATTAATGTAATATGAATATTAACCCTGCTTTATACCAGGCCGTGACGGATTTTTAACATGCTAGTTCACAAGGTAACAGTCTGCAGGAAGACATGTATAGAGTTCGCGAAAACTTATTTTGACCCGTCGGTCATGGGACCGACAAAGCATGATTATTTGTCAGTCCTACAAAATCTGTCAATTTTATCCTGAAATAAAATTAATAACATATTTTATGTAAAAATAACTTTATTAATATTAGTTTTATTCTTTGCACCCACAGGCAAATCAACAATGAAGGACCAGTTCAGGTCTTCTGATTGTTCTTATTTAAAGTCATCTTCACTATCCATTTCATCATCTGAATCATTTTCTCGGCTGTTACAGTATTTGTTTGCTCCATTGTAGGGTTCAATCTCGGATTGTTTGCCAGGGATGGCTCTACGAACAAATTTAGTTGGCCACGTGTAGATCGCTGCTTTGGTTTGTTTATAATAAATCTGTAAACCAGTACCGGAAATTTACAGCGGGTACATCTGATAACCGATGTAAACACTTATTGGAAACAGTTGTGGTACATCTAATAACCCATGTAAAAAAGTGCCGAAATTTGCACTACAACGGCCGTTTTTACATCGGTCATCGGGACCGGCACTAGCCTTCAAAATACTAGTCCGAGCCTTATTTTGACCGACAGGACCGACCATTTTCGCGAACTCTGCATGTCACTTTAACCCGGAAACACTGTTCTGACTCCGAGCGGCCAGTCTTTGCTCTTACTCCTTTATGCCGCATGCTTAGCAGAGAAGCAGCTTACACCAATTTTAAAGTCTTTGGTTTGACCATCTGGCACTTGAGGCGAACACGCTACCAACAAGGTGGTATCACAGATTAGAAGGACAAAATTATAGTTTTGACAAAATGAATCTATAACCATCTTTTAAGGTTTTTTTTATAATTTTCCCCTATTCTAAAAGGCTGTAAAAGGCAACTGCTCGAGGTAAGACAGTTGGAAAAAATTTCCCTGAATATACTTTATTGAGTTTTTTTGGAGTTCTCAAGAAATCATTGCACCCCATTAACTGATTATATACAGGGCTCACACTACTTCTGAATCATAGGGAGAAGTGACTTCTCTTTTTGAAACTGATAGGGAGAAGTGGTGAGATTTGAAAGAGAAGTGCTCCTTCGCGAGATGCGCTACAATGTTTTGATTTTACTATAGTATAAAGGGTCATATGTAAATAATGTTCTTTTTATATTGTTTAATTCATATCTGAGTATACAATTAAATTAACAGTTCAAATTCAAAGTTGTTTAAGTTTAGGTTCTTGTGAGAACTACCAACTAAATATCTAGCACTAAAAAGAATTTTTTTTATGTCAAAAAGGTCAAGAAGTTATAAAATATGAATTACAATTCAATTAAAAACTTGTTTATCATGTTTATAAGATTCAGTGTTTCTCATCAAAAGATATACAAAGTTAAGCTGGGCCATAATATATTGATATTATTGGTTAAGCAACTTTATTCAATATTTTGAAACAATCCATATAAATTATATGGAATAATATACATTAATCAATTAGATCTAACCAAAAGTCTGTTAATGCGTGTGGAATGTGTAATTTTTCCTTTTGGGATCAATATTCTTCAGTCAGCTGTTCCATTCATGCGTCCGTAGTTATTATTGTAAAAATACGGATTTCCGTCATAGCTGGACCGGTTCCGATCCGTAGTTAGATAATGGTTAATGGCGGACGAAGAAAATTTACAAAAATAAACGATGTTTGACAAGCTATTGGAAAGGAATATGAAGTTTTTAATGCAATAAATGGATTAAACATTTACTGGAGGCAACTTTTATCACTTTCAAATGAAGTAACAACTTATTTTGCTGCCGAAAGTTAGATTGATGTACGCTCTCTGAGTAACAAGTACCGGTAGTGCATGCAGTGATTAAAAGTTGTCTTTTTATTAAATAACCTGCTACACACTGTAAATTCAATGCTTAAACCTCGTTTCTTAAGAAAATGAATCATTTATGTCTGAATTTCTTTAATAATCAATAAATTGAAAATGTCCGATGATGAAAGCGACTGAAAGCGAGTATCATCAACAACAGGGCGACTTGTTTTCGCTTTTTAGGGTCGGGCAAAGCGAAGTGACGGATGGGAAAGCGACTTCTTCGCCCTAGTCGCCTGGTAGCGTGAGCCCTGATATATGAAATGTAAGAATGTGAATAATATATTCAAGCGATAAAATATTTATCCAGATTTAACCCTGAAACACTAGAAGTCCAGTGACTTTAAAATCATGAACGATTAATTAAATCCTTAAGTTGGTCACATTAACCGACAGCAATGTAACCAAAGAGATTCCCAAGAGTAAAATGTCTAATATAAACAGATGAACACCTGCAACAAAGCAGCCTCCAGCATCGGTGCTATACTCAAAGACAAATGAAACAGTGGAATACAGTCAACAAATCGTATGTTTTTGTGATCTTTGTGTTTTGGTTCTTCAGCTAGAAGTACACCATTGACAGCACAATGTGGATATTTAGCTGCATGAAGTAAAATCTTGCAGTAAGCTGTGCTTGTTAAAAATAAATCCGCCATGCTGGATGGCTTTCAGTTGTCTCTTTATTTAACGTAAATTACCACGATGTTACTAGAAAGTTCCGAACGGTTTTAAAAATGTCAGCGCCCAGTGTCCACCCACTTATTTATTAATTTGGTAAAAAAGACAGTTATTCACAAATTATCAATGTTTATAAAATGTTTTAATGCAGCTGCAAGACCTGCAAGTGTAAGTTGTGAAAGCGGACGAAGTACACATTTGTATAATACTAATACTTCTGATAAAAAAATTATATAGACAATAGACAATATTTATTACTATTAGCACAAATACATTTACATTAAATGGTTATGGCATTCAGTATGGAGACAATAAACTGATAATAATTAAATTGACTATAATTAAATTAATTTAGAGTGACAGTGGCATTCTCACGAAAAAAAGAGACTATAGATATGTGTGTATCGACAGTTAATACAGTATTAATGTTCATGAACGGGTGCAGATCGTTTCATAACCTGGTCGTTTCGTAACTAGTCGATTCACAACTAGCTAGTTCATTTTTTAACTGAAACGTTTCGTAACCTTATAACAATATTCAATAACATGTAGGTTATGGAAATAATGTTGAATAAATATTTCGTTTAAAAATAATAAATAGACTTATTGATGTATATATCCAAAGGTAAACTAAAAAGGTACATGTATCAGCGTGTTAGGTCCCGCTACATATAAGTACGCATATTCTCATTCAGGGATAAATATACTCAAAACCAGATGTCATGTAGTACATTGTTAAGGAGATGTGCTTTTGTTTGCTGCTTCTGCTGCTCCGGCCAACTAAGACTTTGTTTCCTGTTTAAACCAGGTTTTTTTCAGATGAAAAATCAGGCCTTTATGCCAGTATAAACATGAAAACAAAGGACAACATAGTGAAGTTAATGTTCTAAAGGAAGACGATTAACAACAACAAAAAACGCCGGTCCCCAGCCCGCGTGAAAAGGAGGAATGTTATTCAATAATTGCATGTAATAGTAAGAAAAAAAAGTAGAAAATATTTTTTTTTTTCAGATCATAAGCCATTTTTTTAATCCTCTTCTTAACCACTTTACACCTAATTACTTTTTATCACCTGTCAATAGCTGTCATAAAACCATTAAGCGTAATCACCAATTAGCCAAGAATTTAAAATTTTAAAAATTATTATTATTAGATTCACAGTTTGATCATTTTTAAGTATAAATAACACGAACAAAACTCAAGAAATTTATTTTGGCTTCAATATATAGACAATTTTGGGAGATAAACACTTCCAGAGACAAAACTAATAGAGACACACTTTATAACCATATATAATTACACGAGGTACGAAACGTCTCGGTTACAAATCAACCTAGTTACGAATCGACCAGGTAAGAAACGACCAGGTTACGAAACGACTAGCATTCTCATGAACATAAAAAACAAAAAATAAGGATACATATTAAAAAAAAATATAAATTACACAGATGTTCTCAATAAAAGACAATCATTAATAAACTTTATAGTGATTTTTATAATGACTGGCAAACTGCTATTTAAAAGTGTGGTCATATGCCTCAGTGTTATAGCTGAATGCAATTTTATAAAATTGAAATTAAAATTAGTATTAATATTTTGTATATACATGATATAGGTATCCCTCAATATATATAAATGATAATAAGACTGGTTACCTTGTGGACTAACATGTTAAAAACAGGCTCCAGCTCAGCATGTTGATCTACATGTATTAGTTCAAATAGTGGTTCATCATTGGTTATATAGATCTCGTAGGTACTTGGGGACTGGACAATTTTTTTTGGCCCTTCCCCTTTTTTCCAAAATCCGTTATTTTTTCGTTTTCTATTAATTTCAATTATTTTCGCGTTTTTCTGTATTATAAGAACATAGATCTTCTTATATCTATATAGATATACTACAAATAACTTGTATTTGCTGTTTACTATCCACGGCGGTCACTGATATATAGAATTTATGACCGCTGTTGATAGTAAACATGGACTTGATAGTAAATAACAAATACAAGTTATTAGTAGTATATTTATGTTCTTATAATTGTCCTGTCCCCAAGTACCTATGATAGATCAATATCAAATTAACATGTTCTTGTCAAAATATGCATGATTGTTGTATTTGCCACAGAACGTTATACATCAACCAGGGACAGTCTATACTAGTTGTCCCTGCATCAACCCATAATCATCCTCATCAAAGTTCATATCAGTTTGAGGACTATTTTGAGGCTCTGCCCAATAGGTCATGGTCCAGGGTATCGGGTCTGTTCGCGCCCAATACACGTTCGCACACTACACTTTGGCACCCCACACGTTCGCCTCCTGAGTCAGTTCTCACCCTACACGTTCGCACCTTTTTTTTAATTCAAAAACCTGATGAATTGTTTGATGCTTTTTAGATGTTTATATCAAAATATTGTTCATAATTAAAATTTCGGGAATTGTTTTTAAATTGATTTGATGATTAATTATTATATGTTAATTATGTATGATTACTGTTAATATGGTTTTTATGCAGCTAAACTTGGTGTTATTGTTATGTGTTTGAAAATCGTAATTGTTGTTTTAACTAGCTTTGATGTGAATTCTGCATATAGTTAGTATGTATTTAGCTTGGTATGATAAAAACAATGAAGATTCAAAATGTTATTGTTGTTGAGTTTAATAGCGGTTTGGTATCTTAACATTAAAATAATATTCAACACAAAAAACCTTTTTAGAAATTTTTTTTTATTTTGAAACAATGAAAAAAAAAATTTGTAGCAACACACTAACCAAAACACGTTTAAAAAAATATTCAACACAAAAAACGTCACTTTATTTTGAAACAATGGGAAACAAATATTATTTATAGCAATACACTATAAACCAAAACACGATTAAAAAATATTTAACACTAAAAACGTCACTTTATTTTGAAATAATGAAAAAAAAAACTATTTATAGCAATACAATAACCAAAACACGATTAAAAAATTATTTTAAAAACACAAAAATCTATTTTAAAAAGTCACTTCATTTTGAAACAATGAACAAAAAAAATATTTATAGCAATACACTAACCAAAAAAACGATTGAAAAATTATTAAACACAAAAAACAATAAAAAGGGTGCAAACGTGAAGGGTGCGAACGTGTAGGGGGCGAACCTGAATGGGAGCAAACGTGTTTTTGGGCGAACGGACCCGGATTCATGGTCCAGCGACTTTGAATAATTTAGCAATGTTGCTGTCTATCAGATTGTTTTTTTTATGAGTTTTCTGCTGACAGGCAAGACATATCTCTGTGTCAACAGTTTATTATTATAAAGTTCCAAATCTAAAAATGGATAACAGGCATTGTTTTTGTGTAAATATATATCTAAATCTATAACCTTTCAGAATGTCAAATGAATGTACATGAATTCAGTTGATGATAATTATTGGTGTTAAATGCCATGTTAACATTTGTTGTTAACTGTTCACTCCCTTATGAAAGTTTATTTAAAAAAAAAGGTAAAAGAAGGTTTGAATCTGTAGCTTGAAGTTCAAGGTTATGAGCTCTATACTTAATCTTTCAGGTTTTTCAAGCAACTGTCAAGACGATGAGCAACATTAATTACATTGTTGGTTGGATATATTGGTTATGTCCTTGTAGTTTTAAAGAGTTTTCTCATCTATTTGACATACTCTAGAGATTCCTTTCCACTCCTCTTGATATGAAGAATTCATGGTACAATGTATTGAAACAGTTATCATGGTTATAACCATTTTTTATTTGTAGTGAAGAAAAATGCAATGGTTGAGGCAGAGCCATGGTTTGACGTTAGCTGTGATGGCAGGAGTTATGGCTTCCTTAGGATCAACGTTTGCTAAGTTGGCTATGAGTGGAGATATCGTACTGTCTTATTGTCTACTCTTAGTAGGAAATCACAAGTGTCAACAGGTAAGCTGTTAAACATGAAGTCCATCACAATCTTTACCATCCATCTTCACTATCCAGAACTGGATACGGATATTGATGAATTGTTATAAGAGAATTTATAGGATGTTCAGTAAAGGTTACCTGGAGAATATAAAGTAGATGGCAATCTCATTTTTAGCCAATGATAACATGAGGGTAGGTATGCCCTTTACTGTCAGACGTCAAACGGTCATTTTTCGGCTACCACTAGCGTCAAATTGGTTAAATTTAAAATTTTACTGTGATTCGTCACAATATCCTTATCGTGCTTCATTAGAGTTCTCAAATAATTACCGTTACTGTTATTTTTGGAATAAAATTAACGTGATTCGTCAAAATCAGTCGAGTTTTTTATCGTCTTAAAGAAAGTGTACATTTTATCGTCATGCACAAAAAATTACCGTTAACGTCATTTGGCAAGATTTTTTACCATTATTTGTCATGAAGGTGCCCCCATTACGACCCTCTAACATGGGATGGACTAACAAATGCTAAAAATGGTCTTTATCAATATAATGTAAGTTCCACTGTAAATTCAGAAATAAATGTTTTATTTTAGATTTTAAAAACAATTTGGGTCATCAGAAACTACATTTGATTGATCTTTTAGTAAATTATGTAATTAGTATGTTCACGTTGATATGGGTCCATGTTGTAGATTTTCTGATATTCCTTATATAAAGACTTGTTAACTGTTGCTTATAGAGTACTGCAGTTCTTTTCACCACAATTCCTATGAGAAATTTAATTATAACTGCATGAGGATCAATTTTACCTGCAAGTTTATTTATTATTTAATTCGAAAAGTGAGGATATTGGTTGCATGTACATGTGTACCTGTAGTCATGGTAGCGGCACTGTGGGACTTTTTAAAGTTTTAATTTTTTTTAAAAGAAAACAACATATTTAAGCATGATTAGGTATTCAAAATTTTGTATCTAAGTGATGTTCTCATAATATTTGTACATCAGGTTTTTTCATATTCTTACAAGATATATCTATTATACATATACAACATGTACAAGTGATTATTTTCATGTATGGTATTTGTTGTGTAATGGTGTGTACTCTAATTTTCAGATTAGTGTGTACATACAAGTGATGTGTTTCCTAATGATATTTGTATGTAATGGAGTGATGTGGACCTTCTTCACTAGATCTTTACAGTACTGTTCATCATCAGTGGAGGCTACTGTAACTAATACAGCTTCTAATTTCTTGTTCACAGTAAGTAAAATATATATGATATGTCAATCATCTGAAATTTGGTATCCACGGCTTGTAAATTACATTTAGGCAGTACTATCATGATCACAGACCAATGAGATTTTTATTGTCCATGAAATTATACTTTTATGAAAAGTGAAAACAATTATTAAAGACAATTAAACACTCTATTATAGAGCAATAATGTTAAAAGGAATTCAAGAAAGAAGAAAACACATATTATTCTCTGAAACTGCTTTGACAGCATTAACCAACATTGTCAGGAATAATTTATAGACAGATTTTGTCTCTCCTTGACGGAGTCCAAAAAAATTGAAAAATATTATCTAGGTTTTTATGCCCCCGCCGTAGCGGTGGGGGCATTAAGTTTTACCCTTGTCCGTCTGTACGTACGTACGTACTTCCCAAAATTGGTTTCCGTTCTCTAACTTGAGTTTGCCTCAACCAAATGTTATGAAACTTATACACAATGCTTATTACCACAAAATATTATCTAGGTTTTTATGCCCCCGCCGTAGCGGTGGGGGCATTAAGTTTTACCCTTGTCCGTCCGTACGTCCCAAAATTGGTTTCCGTTCTCTAACTTGAGTTTGCCTCAACCAAATGTTATGAAACTTATACACAATGCTTATTACCACAAAACACAGATCAAGTTTGAATTTTGGTGGCGTCACTTTAACCGTTCTAGAGTTATGCCCCTTTATAAATGGAAAAATTACAAAATTTTTAGTTTCTGTTCTCTAACTTAAGTTTGCCTCAACCAAATGTTATGAAACTTATACACAAGGCTAATTACCACAAAACACAGATCGACTTTGAATTTTGGTGGCGTCACGTTTACCGTTCTAGAGTTATGCCCCTTTATAAATGGAAAAATTGCAAAATTTTTAGTTTCCGTACTCTAGCTTAAGTTTGCCTCAACCAAATATTATGAAACTTATATACAATGCTTATTATCACAAAACACAGATCAAGTTTGAATTTTTGTGGCGGCACTTTAACCGTTCTAGAGTTATGCCCCTTTATAAATGGAAAAATTGCAAAATTTTTAGTTTCTGTTCTCTAACTTAAGTTTGCCTCAACCAAATGTTATGAAACTTATACACAATGCTTATTACCACAAAACACAGATCAAGTTTGAATCTTGGTGGCGTCACTTTAACCGTTCTAGAGTTATGCCCCTTTATAAATGGAAAAAATTGCAAAATTTTTATTTTCTTCTAAATATCAAGTTATTTTTAAAATTGGAGTTATCTTCCTTTGTCCATGATTATAGTTTAATCAAATACAATCAATGCTTTATACAATGCAATGTTTAATTTTGACTTCCACTGATAAAACACAGATCAAGTTGAATTTGGGTAGTGTCACTTTAACCATTATTGAGTTATGCCCCTTTATAAATAGAAAAATTGCTGAATTTTTAGTTTCTGTTCTCTACTTAAGTTAGCCTCAACCAAATGTTATGAGACTTACACACAAAACTCAGATCAAGTTCAAATTTGGGTAGTGTCACTTTTACTGTTCTTCAGTTATGTCCCTTTATAACTATATGATATGCAAGCGGGGGCATAATCTGTATCCATATGTGGACACTATCCACATTTATTTTAAAATCTGTTACATCTATATCTAATAATTCTTCAAATATTTTAGAGGTAAGTGTATACCAACAATAAATACCTTCCATTTCTAATGATGTTTTATTAATGTTAAAATTCCTGAATTTAAGGATTACTCCCCTTTGTATTTATTCTACAAAAGTACATAAGAATTTGAACTTTAATAAATGAATCAATGGGAAATCTTTTACAGCAATATAACAGAGGAAATACCATTTTACTAACAATATTTCATTTCTTTTACAGGCATTTGTAGGTCTGTTGTTATTTGATGAAACTTTGTCATTACGATGGTGGTTTGGATCTGTACTTATCCTGTTAGGACTGATCCTGATAAATAGAGGAAATCTAAAGGATGAACAAAGGAAAGCAGATAAAAAAACAGAGTAGTCAAATAATGTTTCATGATTGTTACCAATAACAAGAAACAGGAGATTAGTCTGTCGTCTGCAATAAGATCACTAGATAGATGACCTCATGATCAAAAGCTAATGATTTGCAGTTCCTGATGTCCAGATGACAGGATTGAAATGAAAACTTGGGACCCTGATACATCGTTATTATTAACATGATTATGATATTACACATGCAGAGTAATAATTGGTATTGAATTAAATGGCAGATAAATTACGGAACTAATTTCAGTGTAAATTTATAATTATTAAATCAAACAGATTTTAAAACAATGATTTGAATATTTTATGAGCAAGTGTCCATTAGTGAAGTTGTAAGCTTATTCTGTCATTGATGAACTTGTGTTGTGTTAAGGTATACTGCATATTCTTTTATTGGAACAAAAAGCTAAAAGTTTAAACAGACTTTGCCTTAATCCTAAAGAAAAAGTGCCATCACTTGACATTTATCTTTATCATCCTCATTTGCATCTTTTACCAGTTAAGATAATGTACAGAAATTTCTTTAACAAATAGAATTTGTGTAGCCATTCATATTTTTATTTCCAGTGACCTTTTTGACCACTGAACATAGCAGATGGTTACTAAATACAATACTGTATTTCAAAAGTCCTATTTACATTATGGGGATTTTATTTGCTTTATTAGTGTGGACCGATACCAAAGGGGCAATCAGAAATCATAAGTTGAAGAAAAACAGACCACACAATGGGCAAAAGAAACAACATTCCGCACAAGTAAAACCAAAGACTGAGCAACAGAAACCTCACTAAAACTAACGGTGAACTAAAGTGCTCCTGAAGGGTCAACAGTTCCTAAAGCAACATAAACCGCAACAATACGGGTGGGGGGGGGGGGGGGGAAGAGATTAAACTATGGTGCTTCTGAAGGGTAAGCAGTAACTGGAGTAATAGAAACCCCAACAAAACTGGGGTGGGGTGGGGGGGAGTGAACTATGGTGCTCCATAAGGATCAGCAGTTCCTGCTAACATTATGCAATTCACTTTTATTCCTTTTTATAAGAAAGTTGAATAGCAGCTTGTAACAGTCAATATTTCTTCGTCATGTTGAATTTCCATACATTTATATAATTACCCTCTCAATGACCTCATGGCTACGTGTTTTCCTCTAGTGTTGAAGGTCAAGTGTTTGCTTTACCTGCTGGGTCAAACCAGAATAGACTGTAAAATTAGTATTTGCTGCTCCTTCGCTTAACATGTGACATTAATGGAGAAAAATCAAAGACTTGTTTGTTAGGATAACATGTCTGGGTGAGATGACAGGTCTTCCTGTTACCTTAAAAATAAACATGTAACTAGCACAGTAAAATCTGGCTTAACATGTCAGTCCAGTATAAAGTAGGGTTTGTATTACAATAACATGTTTTCATCCACAATATTATTACTGTGGATTCAGTTTTTTTTCGGTGTGCCTAGTTTTTGTGGATTTAGGAAAAATTATATTGTTGTGGATACTTGATTTCGTGGTTTTGCCAAAGTCTACATGCAAGCCTAAAGAAAATTTGTTCTTCGCTGAACTTTTAAACTTGTGGATCACCTGTACCAACGAAAATCAACAAACATTGGCATCCCACAAATAATAATGATTCCACAGTAATTGGATTACCTTATGTGTTGTAGAGAAGAAGAAAAACTACCACAAGCTATCTACCTATCTCATGTACACAGTGTTATATCCTTGCATTCTCATTTGCATTATAACTTTGGCCTTCACAGTCACTTTAGAAATAATTATCAATCCCTTCAAACTTCAAAATAAGCTAATATTATTTTATATTCTTCAAGTCATCACAACTATAGAGCAAATGCATCTAAGCCCCAAAATTTCGCCAAGAGCTTCTCATTAGCATATAACTTTGGCCTCCACAGCCACTTTAGTTAAATTACAATCACTTCAATCTTAATAATAAGCATATATTATTTTATTAGCTCTGCTGGCCTAAAAGGCCATGTGGGCTTTTGCAATCACTTAGCGTTGGTCATCGTTCACTTTGATCTTCTCTGAAACTTCTGTTATCAATCATTATTTTACTGAAACTACTGTTATCAATTATTATTTAACTGAAACTACTGTTATCTATCATTATTTAACTGATACTACTGTTATCAATCATTATTTAACTGAAACTACTGTTATTAATTATTATTGAATTGTAAAAGCAAAAGCGGTCAGCAAAAAGAGATCTACAAATATATCAACATGGACGAATTATCAATTGACCACTTATAGGAGTTATTGTCATTAAAAAGTAGCTTTTACTCATTTTTGCATCTTTTTTCAGAAGCAAGCATAGATCGAGAGCAGCAATGTGTAGCAAAAATGTTCAGCACAATAAGATCTACAAATAGGTCAACATGGTTGAAATCGTCAATTAACCCCTTAACAAACTATAATAGATAGAGAGAAACAGATAAACCAAAAATGTTCAGCACAATAAGATCTACAAGTCTGTCATCATGGCTGAAATTGTTAACAAACTCTTTAATAGAAGTTATTCCTCTGAATAATGATTTTATCCATATTTTGCGCTTTTTGATTTGAAAAACTAAAGGGTAAGAAGAAACATCATTAAAAAAGAAAAAATAAATCAGCAAAATAGATCTACAAGTATGTCAATATGGTCAAATTGGCACACTATAGTTCTGGGATTTATTGCCGTTAAATGAATTTTTTTTTTTACTAATTTATATATTTAATTTTGACAATTATCTCAAAAACTTTAACAAGATAGGTATTAACTGTAAACAGTAGAAATGATAATCAGTACAAGACCTAAAAAAAATTACTTAATAAAATCTATCCTCATGAGCTTTTTTGTGTTTTGGGCAAAACTAAAGAAGATAGTCAAACGGTAAACAGAAAAATTGATCAACAATACAAGATCAACAAAAGAAAGAGATTTCTGTCATGAATTATATTCTAGTTTACAATGTTGGAGAAGTCCATTGTTGAAGATGCACATAGACCTGGGTCAGAGAATAGAACCTCTAGATATATATACACTTAATTGATGTGCAGATATTTGAAGTAAAGTTGATTGAATTGGTTCTCATTTCTAATTTCTTAAAACCAGTTTATCATTCACATCCAAGTTTATTGAAAAGGTGTAAAAGAGAAAAAAATAATTATAAGATGAAGTCTATAACTATTGTTTCTTATATTGAACATTAGTCAACATACATAACATATATTGTTAATCTCACTGGTGATTTAAATATTTCAGGATATGTTTTCATTTTTTTTCTAGACTACTACAGATTTTGTGTTAAAATTTTACAATGGTCTATTCAAGTTAAAATAAGAAAGCAAGTAAATGGAAAATATTAATTCCACCGCCATTCATCAACTCGGGGGTTGGGGAGGGGTGGTGGGTGCACTTCGACTTTTTTGTGGTTGAAGTGAGTAGCTGAGACATCGAGTACCCAACCCTTTTCATATATTTCGAAAAACAAAAATAAATAACAAAAATACATACCCTTTCATATATTTTTATAAAAAAAATTAAAATATAGCTAACGTGCTTACGCTATTTCATAGAGAGATAAACAGAATTGACAAATATCTAATAGATTTAAGTTTTAAGTTTTAATCGACATCTGAATAAATTCAAATCAGACACTTGATTGTGATTAAATCAGCAACCTTGTCATAAACTTCAATTTCAGTTCTCGAACTCATCACATATCCCGAAGCTGGAAAAAACGACGTATTCCAGCAGTTCAACCAGGGGCGTGTCCAGGTAAGGGCGTAATAGGCGTACGCCCCCCCCTTTTCAAAAAAAAAAAGAATAAAAAAAATCGTTATCTGCTTATATTGTATTGAATATGGCAATTTATCATATTCATTAATTAAACACACTCTCTGATTTCTTTTTATACTGATTCCCCCATCCGATGGGTGACTTGGACACCTTTTTTAATCAACCAAAGCGGTCAGTAAATCTATACATGAAATGGTTGTTTTGTGTGACACTTCCCCAATGGCCATTCTACATCTACCCGGGGAATACTCGCTGTATATATGATACCGGGTATGTTCCGACAGAGACATATAATGTCTCTGGTTCCGACAAACGGGGTTGCATTTTCAGCTAAATTGTCTGAAATGGGGTTATGTTTTTTTCGCCTTGCATTGGAAGGGGTCAGATTTGACTATCTAGAACGGGGTATTATAAATACAATGTTACACTATTGTTTCCGATAAGAGTGAATGTTTGGTACCATTAAAACGTTTAAACCCGCTGCAACTGTTTGCACCTGTCCTAAGTCAGGAATCTGATGTTCAGTAGTTGTCGTTTGTTGATGTGGTTCATAAGTGTTTCTCGTTTCTTATATAGATTAGACCGTTGGTTTTCTCGTTTGAATGGTTTTACACTAGTAGTTTTTGGGGCCTGTTATAGCTTGCTGTTCGGTGTGAGCCAAGGCTCCGTGTTGAAGATCGTACTTTTACCTATAATGGTTTACTTTTATCTGAGACTACTATAACTTATAGTAGTCTCAGCTTTTATAAATTGTGACTTGGGTGGAGAGTTGTCTCATTGGCACTCATACCACATCTTTTTATATCTACTAAATTGAAAACAACGTTCAAACCTATGATTGTGTTGAATAAAAACCGCAATTTTTATACGTGTGCATGAAAAACAAATTTCTTGGTAAAGGGGTCTAAATACAGCACAAACAACATTTTCCAAAAGACCAAAACAGTGAAAAGGTATATTTTAACAAAACGGGTATATATAAGATTAAAATTGAGAATGGAAATGGGGAATGTGTCAAAGAGACAACAACCCGACCATAGAGTTATATATATATATCAAAAGTTCAGAAAAAGCTATCGTTAAAGATTTATTTTTTATTTTTCATGCCCATTCCATATAACCTTTTATAAGCTGAATTTACAACTTCTTCCAAAGATTTGATATCCACATGTTAATCAATACATAATTTGAATGATCCGAAGGCAGACTATTTTCACCAATTTGTCTATCATGGAGTCTGTTATAATACTTCATAATTTGATGCTAAATTGTTGAAATCCAGGAGCTTCTGACTTTCCCCACGGACCCTATACCAGGGCAACCGGAATTACGCCTCCCGTTCATAAAATCCTGGCCTAGGACTATTGAAATGTAAAGTAACGCCCTATACCATAGAATTTGGAATTTCTCGTTATTGGTCTACTGCTGTTAAGATCCATCCAATCATTTTGATATACCATAGACAATTAATGGAGAGAATTCGGCATAAAAAATATCAAACCCTGACACTTTAACTATAAAATATACATGCTCCAAGTCAGGAACCGTTATATTAGTGCATTTCACAATTATTTTATGTTTTTTAGACAAAAAAAGGTCCAAAATTTTTTTCGCCTCGTTCCGCTCGGCGAACATTGCATTCTACGCCCCCTCGTTCAAATATCATGGAAACGCCCCTGTCAACTCTACTTAAACTTACATAGTAAGTGCCCCTACGAGTTCATAAATATTGTGTTCCATTCTTTAAATATGTTAAGGGGTACAATGAGACATGGACTGAGTGACATTACTATACATTATTTTAGATGTCATGAGAAGGTTCACTCTTGTTTGTAGAAGACTACATATCTGACATATGCCAATAAAAGAGCATATACCTTATTAGCTCCTCTGGACCGAACTCTTTCAATAGTCTTCTCTGAAACTGCCGAACCCATTCATACCAAACTACTCTGGATTGACCATTGGTGTGTCTAGATAATAGTTTGTGAATTATGTTATGTTCTATCAACTTAAATGGTCACCACGGCAAAAAAAATAGAACATGGGAGTAAAATGCAAGTAGTTGTCTTATATCTTTAAAAAAAACATAAGAGACATAGAAAATGTGACGATGGATGAGAATGTCGAGATCTTCTAGCTTTCCATTTGTACCAACATTATCAGATGGCTTCTTGTAGGAGTAATTGCCCATGAATAACGATTTTCGATCAATTTTAGTTGTGTTTGCTTATTTGCTTGATAACAGCCAGATACTGCATGGCAGTAAAAATCAGCAGCAAGACGTGATCTATAACAAGAGGCTCCTACTATGGAAGTCTATATCGCTCCCCTAGCATTTTGAGCAAAAGTTTAAGTAAATGGATACAATTATAATGCAAGAATATTTTTGATGAAATAGGTACCGTGGTCGGTAAATCTTGGCATTCGGAGCATTTTCTCTCTTATTAGATTTCTCAATCTATTGTGGTTTCAGCATAAGATAATGAATGCAATTATCCGTATGTTCTATTTATAGCCTTGGCGGCCATGCATGTTTATTGATTGACCAAAAACTTTATACTAGATACCGTTAGGATAATACACCCCAAGTTGGGGTAAGCATTGGCTCAGTAATTTCATAGAAGATCTTTGAAAAGGTTTAAGACGGACGCTTAAGTGATGTCAAAAATTCATATGGTCTTTTAGGCCAGATGAGCTAAAAATGACAATATGACGTTATCCAAAAATTGATCCATTATTGGAGCTATTGTCTACAAATGATGGTTTTTGATACATTTTACGAATTTTTGCCTACTATGAAGGTATGGATGGGGTTAACAGAAAAGAGAATAATGGGGGAAAAAAATAATGGAGAAAGCAAAATATTTAAAGGAGTAAAGAATAATGGGGCGCGGAAGTATAAAGTATAACTGTGTATAAAGAAAGAATTAGGTAATACCATACTGATTACAGAAATGAGTGACGTACAGAATAAAGAAATTACATAATTACAGAAAAAAAAATATAGTTAAAATATTTTTATGAGAATTTTACAGAATAAGCGTTATTTTTCAAAAGATAAAGTAAAACCCTAAAATTAAAAGAATACAAAAATTAAGGACCTCCCATCCAGACCCTCAACTATCTTGAACCCTTAATTAGACAAAAGTATAAACATATAAAATGACCAAAATTGTCATTTAAACTGACGTGTTTAATTGGCCTCTATTGGAGTTATTGTCCTTATACGATGAGTTTTCTAGTTTGCCGATTATCTTGAATTTGATATTTTTAGGGGGAAGGGGTTTTCCATTTTAATGTATAGATTTGAGATTGTATGCTGGTTATGTTGTGTTTGTTTTGTATAATAACATTTTTTGCTTGAACATTCACTATGCCAAAAAAAAAAACCAAACATAATTGTTGTTAATTGAAAAAAATGATAATGCAAATTTTGGCTTTATATGTCTCTGCTTTTAATTCATATTTGAGCTTTATAATAACCATGATAAATGAGTTGTACAAATTAACTGTCACTCGTAAAGTTTGCGGATTTTGTCCGAGTTGAAACAACATTTCACTTTTACAATTTATCCACTAATACGTTAATTGAATTTAATTATTTTATTTTCATAATTATGCAAAGCTCAAAGCACAAAAAGGCGTATATTTTCCTCTGGGCAGTATATGGTTATAATAAGTGAAACTGATGACCTTGAGCAAGGACAATTAGTGGTGTCAGTACAATATATATATATGAGTACTACTCAAACTTCGTTTATTACACTACAACACAGATAACCAAATAAGACGTGAAAATGGCGAGCAGAGGGAAGAAGAGAGGAAAATTGGTCGAAGAATCCGTTGTAAGAATATTTATTTTTTATTTACTTATTACATAAAATGTCGTATGCTACAACATGCAACGATGCACATCCTATCCTTCACATGCATGCACGTGTCTGTCTCTTGTTATACTTTTGCAAAGCAGGTTTTTACAGAATTTGATATTGATGAAGAAGAATATGTTGATTTTGATAAACCTTTTAAACTAATAAAAAAAAATAGCTTTAAAAACTATTAAACATATTGTTAAAGAAAAGTATGATAAAATCACTCTTGAAAAACTTTCAAATATAGATCAAAACTTTACCTTTATAGTAAACTTAACACATGAAATTAAATTGGAAGACTTCTTGCACAATCTAAAAAACTTGTCAACGTTTACACAATATTCCGTCTAAGTGGCCATAACTTGTAAATTGAAATAGGTCGATATAAGAAAATTCCAAGAGAACATGGAGTGTATAATATTAGTAAATTCTAGATTATGAGAAACACTGTTTTCTTCATAGCCAAATCAGCATTAATATTAGAAATCCCCTTATAAATGCAATTATATAGACACCAAGGGGTTGAATCAGGATTTTTTTAAAAGGCGAACAGGGTAAATATTCATATTACATTACCATGTTTTCGTCCTGAATATGCATATTAACTTGCCGCTGGACGTTAAGCACCCATCCATCATCATCATCATCATAAAAGATTATATTTATTGACATTTCTGCATCTCACTAATAGAAAGATGTAACTTATGATAATGTCATCCTATGGTTGTGTTTGTATATTTTACATGAACAAATGTCCTTGTATGTTTTCTTTTCAAAACTAGATTGGAGAAAAAGAAAATATATCCAGCAGGAGAACAGGGAGAGCAAAGAAGGCTGTAAACTATGTCGAAGACTCGCCAGTTGTTAAGAAAAGAGCAAAAGATGATGCAAAACTTGAAAAAGAAATAATCAAAATAGCAAAGAAGAAAGAAACACTGAAGCGAAAATTGAACACAAAAGAAACGGAAAAATATATGGAACTAGAAAAAGAAAATTCCAAAAGTACGAAATCTAAATTACCGACAAAAGCCAGAGGTAAAATTAAAGAAATTAAAGATACCGTCGATGTTTTTGAACTTAAAGATAATGATGGAGATAATAGTGAAGCTTCAGCGGTGGAAGTTCAAAAAATACCACACAAATCAGATAATAAAACAACAAGTAAACGAAATAAAAAAGGTAAGAAGGACAAAACAGATGACAAATTGACTATTACAGAGAAAGAGACAGAACATTTAGAGCAAACAGAAAATCAGGATGAATGTGAACTTAACACAAGTGCAGTGACGGAAATTGCAAATAGCAGTAGAATTAGAGGGCATTCGAATAGGAAGCAGATCAAGGCAAATACCCGAAAACCGTTATCAAACCGAAGTGATAACAGTCAGACTGCACAAAATCAAGAGATGGTAACACACATTGGAAGTGGAACAAAGTCGAAAAGACAGCACATCGCAAAACAAAACACACAAAATGAAACACACGATCAAATTACAAAGACAATTATTACTAACACTAACGATACTGACGAAATGAATGCGAAAGAATGTCCTGTCGTTGATGATGGCGAAGATGATTCAAAGAAAGACGAAGAAAAAAATGCGAACAGTACTTTCACTCTTGGGGATATTGTAGAAACACCAAGGACTACTAACACGAGAAGCACACCAAACAGTGACAGGAACACAAAACAGAATACGTCATCCGTTGCCAAACGTATGTCTGAAGTGTTAGGGAGTATAAGAAAGGAGAGTGTAGGTGGTAATACTCCAAAGTCGGCACATTGTGCTTGTGGAGATATGATGAGCGAAATAAACGAAATTTTAGAACTTGTAACGGAACAACTGACAGACCTGAAATCCGAAATGGAAACTGTTAAGGTAATTTAACTAGAATGCAAAATAATACTAATAAAAAAATAAAAACAAAAGAGAAATATTAGTAACCATTATTTAAAGGAATAGACTTGTTTGTATGATTGTCATTTATTTTATTGTAGTCCTGTTGAAAGGGGTTAAATGAAACAGAAAGGACGACATTAATAGACGTATTGACACAAAGTATGCAAATTTGTCAACCGCTACTAAAAATCGCACAAGTTCCCGCAAAAAAGTGCATAACAATTCATAATATTTGATGTAATAAAAAAGTGTTTGTTGCATGACGTAAGAACGTTATACGAGTCTACAGATCTAGGGTTATTCGGAGACAAAGTTCGGCTAAATACCACACAGTGTAAAATAAATATTTTACGACGAGTAACAACTACCACTAGATTTACCATTGCAAGCAATAGCGGATGTCACCCTTCCCCCATTGACACTAAGCAGCAGCCATTTCGAAAATTTTAAACAGTGAATGCACATATATGCATTGCTATTCATACCTGTATTTTTTTCAGTACATTTAGAGCAATTTAGAATTTTTCACATTTCTGTCGTTTCCATGGCAACGGCGGCCATTTTGGAAATTCTAAAGACAAAAGTCTCATCTATACTTGCCAGTTAACAATCATATTTGGTTTCATTTAGTTTGGAGCATTTTGAAATTTTTGCACTTTCCATGGCAACGGTGGCCATTTTGGAAGATCCGAAGTTTGGAGCATTTTAAAAATTTTGACATTTTTGCTGGTTTCCATGGTAACAGAGACCATTCCAAAAATTTTATTGACAGGTGCCACATTGGTACATGGGAGGGAACATACCATCAAAGTTTCAATGTATTTGATCTACCATTTTAAGAGAGGAAATGCTACTTTAAGGTTTTTGGAGCATTTTGACATTTTTTGCATTGTTTCCATGGTAACGGCAGCCATTTTGGAAATTCCAAAACCAAATTCCACATCTACAAATGTTGCTCATCGTTACTGTGAAGTTTCATTAAGTTTGGAACATTTTGATATTTTTTAAATTTTGGTGTAGTTTCCATGGCAACATAGTAGTTCCAATGATTGCCAAAATCATCCAAAACCAGTAGATAGTGGACACCTACATTGTTTTAAATTTAATGATTTTAAGTTTAAGCATATCCAAATAATTCACCAAAACCAAAAACTTGATTTTTTCACATTTTTCCGTTTCAATGGTAACGGCAGCCATTTTATATGTTCCAAAGACCTACTGCAACTCGAAATTTTGTGTTCCTCCAAAAAATCTGCCGGACAAAAATCATTGGAAAAATAATAATAACAAAGAAACAGAGGAAAAGCAACATGTCACCCGACATTGTCGATCAGGTGACATAATAATCCAATAGCTTGACAACATAACGGTTTGCAATCGGTGTTCATGGAAACGAGAATTGATTTAGATCTGTTAAGTTTCCGGCCAGTTTATATGCATTTTATGCAAATGCCAACGGGTTTCAAACATAAAAATGTTTATTTGAATCGATCCTAGCTTATCATAATATACACCCAGAGCCTGATGATTTTGGCAAATAATTTCAGTTTTATTGGGTGTTTTGTAAAAATCGATTATTGTCGATCTTTATAGCCCCGTTAAACGAGGGGATCATGCAAGTTGAAATATATTCGATCAGTTGAATCAAATTGCTGATATAAAAAAAAAGCACAGAGGGAGGGGTAACAACTATGATTCTATACAAGGACGATTTAATAAATGACGAAAAAGCTATATCTCTTTTTTCCAGACAACGAATGAGTCTCTGCAAACTGATTTAGACACTAATCGCAGTGAAACAAGACAATTGAAAGAAGAGATGAACAACTTGAAAAACGCAACACTTCACCAGGTGAGTGAGTAAGGAACACAACACTTCACCAGGTAAGTGAGTAAGGAACACAACACTTCACCAGGTATGAGTAAGTTACACAACACCACCAGGTAAGTGTATGAGTAAGACACACAATAATTCTCCAGGTACATGAGTAAGAAGCAAATGTACTACTGAATGTTCATACCTGGAAAGGTAACACGATAAGGTAACTTTAGAACTTGCATCAAACATAAAGAAGTAAGTAATCGACAGCGCTTGTTATTGCTCTTCCACTTCAAGGTATGTACATGTATCTTCTTAAAACAACCTGCATGGAGCCTCGGTGGCCGAGTGGTCTTAGTAGTTACTACTGTACTCACTAGCCAGTCAACACTGAGGTTGTGAGTTCGAACCCCGCTCGTGCGGGTGCACTCGACTCCAATCTTAATTGACTAGGATTGCCAGTTTTTCTATCGAAGGTCGGTGGTTTTCTCCGGGCACTCCGGCTTCCTCCACCAATAAAAACTGGCCGCCACGAAATAGCTCAAAAGCGGTGCTTAAAAGTGGCGTTGAAACACCAAAAATCAAAATCAAATCTTAAAACAACCATGTATATTAGGAATTATATGTATCCAAATAGCATCAGCCAATTGTATCTAGATATGGTCAATCCTTTTGAGATTTGTTTTAAATAGAAAATAGCCTAATGTGCAATCCTACCAACTATCAGGATTTCAGGTTACCCAATACTCCGAGGTGTTACGTTTACAAAGTATTTTATTCATTACACTAAAAATCTACGAAAATAAAAAAAAGAATATCCTCAATGACCACAGCAGAGATTGTCATACTTTTTAAGGTTCGTTATTCGGAAGGCCCAATTGTCCGAAAATGTCCATTGGTAAGAATTATCGTTTGTCTGTAAGTTAAGCTAAATTGCTTGACTGTAGATTTTGTTATTATAGGCAACAATTGAGGCAGCACTACAAAATTTAACTCAACGTTTCATTTAAAGTTGATATTCAGTAAACAGACAAAATAATCACAAGCTATAATGAGCTTTTCAAATCGATTACATACCGGCAGTATAATTGTATTCCGCAGCTTTTGAAATGGACAGAATAGTTTTTTACTCAGATGACATTTTATTCGTGTAATTTCGACATCAACAAAACAATTTAAACATATAATGGACGGTAAGATAATAAATACATTTCAAATAAAAGTTAAAAAGCATAGTTTCAAGTCAGATTTTATAAAAAAAAGAATGCAAAATATGTGTTTTAAAACATTTTAAGTTAGAAAATTAAGCACAGAAGACAATGGCAACACAAAAAAAAGCAAAACAAATCAAGCAGTCTAACAAATTTGCATGCACTCACCACTGACGTGAGGTATTAAGATTCCATGTAAGTACCAGATTACCCAATGTGATTATAATTCCGTCTGCTTTTTATTCTTATTTAACGTTTACACACCTGATCGAGGCATTAAGACGTTTTTTTACAACGCTATGAAGGGACTCATAAACGTCACCATTCGTTCATAATTCACGTGAAATTTTGGTATTTGTGAGGGATGTTACTCGTTTTGCCCCCTCTCGCACCTAACCTTTTAAATACACCTTTGGGACATATTTGCCCAACTCTAATAAACTATTTCTCATTAACTAAAGGCTCGGGCCAAGTGAGCTAAAAATGGTTACAATCTACGTTTCATGGAATTTAAAATCAAATTCAATATTACTTCTATAATATAAAAATAAGATGTGGTATAATTGCCAATGAGACAAATCTCCCACAGAGGCCAAATGGCACAGAAGTTAACAACTATAGGTCACCGCACGACCTTCAACAATGAGCAAAACCTATACCACATAGTCAGCTATAAAAGGACCCGAATTTTCAAATGTAAAACAATTCGAACGAAAAAACTAACGGCCTAATTAATGTACAAAATAATGAACGAAAAATAAATATTTTACACAGCAACAAACGACAACCACTGAATTACAGGCTTCTGACTTTAAAGTCAACATTACACTTTTACACTGATAGCAGCAATCGCAGGCGAGACACATGGTTCCGCGGAACCCCTTACGAATTTTTCAAACGACCATTTGATTAAATAGAAAAACTTTTGTTCGAGGAGATTGTGTGGAAGTGTAGTGTAAAGAGTTGAAAAGTCAAAACTGCCAGCAGAATCAAAAGGACCATCTAAAGCACGTAATTTATCTAAAACATCCAAAGAATTGTTAACCTTACTTAATGAATAGGTTTATAAACCCGATATTATCTATATATCATATTTTGTTCATTGTGCGTCCGATATTAATTATAGTTGTTTTTTCTTTACAGCGCGAAAGCTAGCGTTCAGTCATATGTTGAACTCTTCTATTTTTGTATTTTGTAGATACAGACTAATACCACAAAGACAAGCAGTACACCAAGGGTATAACAACAATAGTGTCGTTTATCGTTTTAAAGTGAACTATCTTTATAAGATCTGATAATAAAAATTCAGACATTTGTACAAGATTTTATGTTCTTTTAATGGAACAGTCTTATAACGAAAATTTTAATACGTTTGTACCAGATCATATTTCTTTTAATAAAACTGAAAAAAAAATGATTTGATTTGATTATACTCCTCCAACAGTTATTTTGGCATTTATTTTGAAATACAGTAATATTATTCAATAAACATGTAAATTTTATTATTAACGACGTACTTTTTTCGAGAGTTTGTTTCTTGTTATCCATAACAGCACATGTTTATTGGTAATATTTCTGTATTTTCAGAAATCTCATTCAAACCAAAATGAGATTGACATGTTATGGAATCAGTGTGAAGTACAGAAAAAGACCATTCGGTCATTGCACAATGAAGTGGACAATACAAAAACTGAATTTAACCTACGTTTTGAGAAATACAAAGTAAGTATATAAATGAAATTATGTTTATCGTGGCTTATACGGATGTAGATTGTCTATATTGTTTCATACATCCGTTGCCTGAAGTTTTGCCGTCTTTTGCGGGGAGGCCTACGCCTTTCATGGATTACACGGATGCAGATTGTTTATATTGATCATACATCCGTTGCCTGTTGCCGTCTTTTGCGGGGAGTCCTACGCCTTTCATGGCTTACACGGATGCAGATTGTCTATATTGATCATACATCCGTTGCCTGAAGTTTTGCCGTCTTTTGTGGGGAGGCCTACGCCTTTCATGGATTACACGGATGCAGATTGTCTATATTGATCATACATCAGTTGCCTGTTGCCGTCTTTTGCGGGGATGCCTACGCCTGTCATTGCTTACAGGGGTGTAGATTGTCTATATTGATCATACATCCGTTGCCTGAAGCATAAATCTATATGTGGACAAAACGTCTTGATTCATTGTAGGGTGCGGGATTTTCTCGCTGTGTTGAAGACCCATTGGTGGCCTTTGGCTGTTTTCTGCTCTTTGGTCGGGTTGTTGTCTCTTTGACATATTTTCCATTTCCATTCTCAATTTTAAAACACAATTTTTGTACCACCTTGATGTGGGATATTTGTGTTGTTTTTCAACTTCGACGCCGGTGTCTTCATCACCTTAACTTTTCTGATTATATTAATTTTAGAAGTAAAACGTCAATATATGGTATACTGTATTATTGAAAATGTGTAGAATGTAAACAAAAACGACAGGTCACCGCAGGACACAGTCTTAATCAACAAGCAAAACCATACCCATACATCAAGCAAAAAAAGAAGAAGCTAATTACATAATGTGAAACATTTAATAGAGAAAAACAACGACCAGTTATAAGCTATTACATGTACATGAAATAGCTCTTAAAGATAAAAAAAACATGCAACCAATAACAATCCTGGACAACAGGCTCCTAGGATGAGATAGGCATATATTATTTTGTAGGGTTAAACATGTTGTGAGCACTCAAACAATCCATTACATTGGATAGTGGTGTTATAGTATTATAACAAACTGTAAAAACAATTGTTGAAACCCTTGAACGATTCTAACTAACCCCACTAAACCTTTCAGTTGATTCGTTCAATCAGATGTTTGTCTCTTTCAATATGTTCGAAAAACATATTTGTTTCATCAACTGAACAAATAATACAAGAAGGCATCATGATTAAATAGTAAATAATTAAAAAAAAAATACACTGAAAAACGTCATTTAAAACCACTAATAGTAATCCATCAACAAAACATATATATGTGTATACGTATGTATTTTTTTCCAAAGTGGCAAAGTGGGTTAAAACGGTCAAGATTTGGGTCTTTATACTATGGCTCTGAAAAACCTTCAACAACATGGCGGTGATAAAGCTTCCTGTCAAGTGATATCACACACTGCTATATCGAAATAATGTATGTTACCGTAAAAATTGGATTGAAGCCGAAGACGAGCACATGACATTGCGGCTGTCAAGTAAAGCAAGCATGTAAACTCCACTTTTTAAAATAGCAATTACATCGAGAGCTCATTAGGCAGCACCTGCCGCATTTTAAAAAAAAACACTGTCTAGGTGTTAAACAAGTAAAAATTATAACATTTATCAATAAATCTCTTTCTTAAATGTATATATCAGCAACAGAAATCTATTTGACTAAATTCTTTTACAGAGAGCGATGATTTTTGTATTGAGCAAGACAAGACCAGACATTACACATTCTGATGTTTCAAAATTGAGGAATTTACTCAACAAAACAGAAAAATGTTTGGATTCGACACTTGACGAGATTTGCTCATCAATGGAATCTGAAATGCCATGTTCTGCACCAAATATTGCGACCAACAATGGTCCTGTCATTTCGATTAGTTGTCCCAGCAGTCCACCAAAAGAAAACAGTAGAAATGGACATGTTTTGGTGCCACAAAAAGACGATCATAACGTTATCAAAACTGCTAATCATCTGTCAACCCCTAAAAGGAATCCTCAAGATTCAGACCCTTTCCAAACTAGACACAAAATTAGAAGGACACCTGTCTGCGAATCTAAAAAATGATCTTTATGATCAAGGTATATAATTGTTTTTATTTAGAATAAAACATTTTTTAGCATAATTTACTAATCGGACAAAAATAACTGAGAAAAAAAAACCCAATTACTTTGTGCATGTTATTTTTGATAAAAACAGGGATACTGTTTATATGGTAGTCCCTTTAAAACACTTGCTTTGAAGATTGGGATAATGAATAATTGATAATGAGAAATGATGAATACACATCGCATAAATCAACTTTACAATGATACAAATGCTCAAAGATGAGGAATACTATAAACATTTCTGGATATGGAACCATGAATGGCAAGTAACGATAGGCAAACATCCATGATAAGTCAGAATAGGCAAACATCCATGATAAGTCAGAATAGGCAAACATCCATGATAAGTCAGAATAGGCAAACATGAATAATAAGTCAGGAAGGCAGCATGAATAAGAAGTCGGGAAAGGCAAGAATGAATGAAAAGTCAAGGAAGGCAAGCATGAATGATAATTTCGAATAGGCAAGCATGAATGACAAGCAAGCATATTAAGTGTTGAATGATGAATAGGACAGCTTTTCAATCCACATGCCAAGTGTTTCATTCCATTTAGGTTAGTTTTTATTGTTGTTTAGTAATGTTTCCTTTTATTTTTAAACTGTTCATGAAAGGCATGCCAGACGTTTGTATACATAAGTGGTTATTCTTATCTTTATTGTTGAAAATGGTGTTCTCGGTCACTGTGTTATCAGCTTTATAGAAACTATATTAACTTGTATGCTACCTTTGAATAATAAAACATGATTTTGTTTATATTGAATTTGGTTGAGTCCCTTAAGTTTAGGGCAGAGGAGAATATTTTAGCGTATTGATAGATTTTAGCGAAAAAGATCGGACGTTTTAGCAAAGTATATCCCATTTTAGCGCCAGATATCTTACCCATTTAAGCGTAAAGTGAAATAAGAAATGCCCATTTTAGCGACGGAAATTTATTCATAATAGAATGATAAATTTTAAAAGGACCAAGACAGCACAACATAAAACATATCATGTTCATAAAAATATTGCTCTAAAACTTGAAAAGTTAACTGAAAAGTTCAATTGTCAATTTATGTCCCATTAAAAGTAATTGGCTCTTGATATACCCATTGTAAAATGATGTTCATAAAATTGTGATAGTCACTTTCTTATCTTTATCTTGTCTAGACTGAGGTGCAGATCCCTCGATACTTCTTATTGTATCGCCTGCGACGAAAGTCTCAGAAAACGAGACATGGGTATTACAATCCGGCGGCGGCGACGGCGTTAACTATTTGTATAAAGCTTTATAGTTCAGAAGCTAGAAGACCTAGGGACTTCATACCTTGTATGCAGATACTTTATGCTACCAAGTTTCCGTCTGTCATATGTCCATTGTCCTTGACCTCATTTTCATGGTTCAGTGACTGCTTAAAAATAATAAAATAGTTTTTATGAAAAGTGAAATACTCACTTATTACTTGGTATATGGGTTCCTTGCAAGGTCTACATGTCCATCAGGTAGGGTTCACCTGACCTTGACCTTACTCCATGGATCAGTGATTAAGGTTAAAGTTACGTGATAAAAGTCCGTATCTCAGATACTATAAGCAGAAGGTCAACTATATTTGATGTATGGAATGATTGTAAGGTGTACATTTCCAACTGGCGGGTGTCATCTAACCTTGACCTCAATTTCATGGTTCATTGGACAATGTTCAAGTTTTTGTGGTTTGGTCTATTTCTCAGATCATATAAGCAATAGGGCCATTATATATAGTGTATAGAATGATTATAAGGTGTACATGTCTGACTGGTAGGTTTTCATATAACCTTGACCTCATTTTCATGGTTCATTAAACACTGTTTAGTTTTTGTGGTTTGGTCTATTTCTCAGATATTATAAGCAACAGGTCAATCATATTTGTTGTATAGAATGATTGTAAGGTGTACATGTCTGTCTGGCTCGGTTCATATATACCTTGACCTCATTTTCATGGTTCATTGTCAATAAGTTTTCATAATTTTGTTAGTTTATCAGATACTTTGAGCAACAGATAAGTTTTCGCTAAAATTGGCTATCGAAAATACAGCTGAACGGGTTAATTCGGCGCTAAAATGGGTTATAATGTCTGCGCTAAAATGTCCCCTAGTTGTTTTATATTGTTCGCTAAAATATCCTGCGCCCGTTTAGTGATGCATAAATCTATGATACAGAAAATGCATTTACACCAATACACACAATACTAATGGATATATAAAATTCACTTGATACTCTATTAGTCATTATCAGGATAAGAACATGATAGTTTTTTTCATTGGCCATCATACCACATCTCCTTATCCTTATATCTTGGAATTCTATGAACCAATTGTTATGGAACTATACCATAATGTTAACCAGCATGTGCAGATTTGCTATCGGGGTATAGCATTTTCAAGATGGTCGTGGAAACTTTTGTCCGAAAAAGCAATATGCTCCAAAGTTAATGAAACTTCACACAAATATACTGGCATATGCAGATGTCCCATTTGACTTTGGAATTTCCAAAATGGCTGCCGTTAGCATGGAAACAGCAAAAATGTCAAAATTTTCAAAATGCTTCAAACTCAAATGAAACTTTGCAATAATGTTAATTGGCATGTGTAGATGCCCTCTTTTGACTTTGGAATTTTCAAAATGGCTGCCGTTACCATGGCAATGGGCCGGGGGACGAGAGTGCCATCCGTTATTGCTAGCAATTACAAAGCTAGTGTTATATTTCTACTCAAAACAAGATTTGTAGAATGTTTGCTGCTTTATTCAGAAATTCAACTTTAAATAATAACCAGTAAAATTGTCTCGTGACCTTTATATGGTGTATTAAATAATACAAAACACGAAAGGTTAATAATAAATTGGAAACAAAACATTTTTACAAAAAGA